AGTACTTGAATGTTCACAGAAGCTTCATCAAAAATAACTAAACATTAGAAATAACCCCAATGTTGGTAAATGGAGGCATATTCAGACCATTGAACACGACTTTTAGGCAGTAACAATCAGCTGTCGAGGCATGCAGCCACACGGGTGATGCACAAACACATTCTGCTAAGTGAAGGCAGGCAGAAACAAAAGATAATGCACTGTTGGATTCTGCTCACCTGACATTCTAGAAAAGGCAACACTTCACTAACGTTGACCAGCAGTGGGGAAAGCTTGGCCTTCAGGCAGAGGATATTTGGAAAGTATTTTGTTCTCCTAGCTAAGCCAGCCAGGAGCAGCCTCACCCTCGGATCTTGCCCAGATGTGCCCTTGGTGGAAATTGGGGCACTAGGATGGAATAGTAACGTGTCACACGCCAACCGCCTTGGTGAGAGGGCTCTGAGCCCATTTGGTGACCTTTTCTAATCTGTAATAGTGTACTTACCCCACTTCTGTAGTCCCACCTGCAACTACGGTAAATTGATTTGCTGCCACTTATGATTTTCTGGCAATTTCCTTTGTTCTCCGTGTCCTATTTAAGTGGCCACATTTCTGGGCCTCTTTGGACACCTTTAAAAAAATTTTGAACACCCCCAACCCCCATGGTTCAATGGCTTTTACAAAAAGTTGTGTAATCTACATATAACCTTCTCCCTGGGGGACAGACAACAGAAAAGTGGGTGAAGGGAGACATCGGACAGTGTAAGACATGAAAAAAAAATTTATAAATTATCAAGGGTTCACGAGGGAATGGGCAGAGGGGAGGGAGGGGGGAAAATGAGGAGCTGATACCAAGGGCTCAAGTAGAAAGCAAATGTTTTGAGAATGATGATGGCAGCATATGTACAAATATGCTTGACACAATGGATGGATGGATGTATTGTGATAAGAGTTGTATGAGCCCCCAATAAAATTATTTTTTTAAAAAAGAGTTGTGAAATCACAAGCAGTTCTAGTACTCACTACCGGCTCCTGCATACATTGTTTGCTCTCCAAATCCCCTCACCTTCCCTATCTCCCACCCCCACTCCTACATCCCCTATGAGCCCTTGCGTCAGTTATTATCTCATGCATCCACTCCTGTGCTTCACAAACTGGAAGACCAAACAGAAACACACACACACACACACACACACACACACACACACAGAAATAAAGTGGTAAGGATAAAATAATAATAATATAAAGATGAAAATACAAATAATGAGTAACACAGAAAAGACCACCATCAGTATTTAAAAAGCCAGGGAAGAGATTTTTGTGATGGAACAAGTAAGAAATGCACCTAGAACGATTTCAGGTTGGGTCAAGAGGAAGGTCAACTGACCAAGTATCAAGTATCCGGCATAATCAAGGTGACAATGGTCTCTGTCTGATACTAAAGCTGTTCAAGACGCCTTGCCTGTGGCTAGCGGGGATCTGCCAATGGCTTAATCTGACTAGACACTCTGCAGATGGGTTTTGGGCTCCCACTGTCCTCCACAGTCTTCTACCAATTGAGTGTTCACAATTTAAGCTCATGTACTTTTCCCTTCATCATATTTGGTCTTTGTTATTATCATCTTTGGATCACCCAAGCTGGTGTGCTTAATTAACTCTTCACTTCGGTGGCTGCTTGTTTGAATACAAGCCTTTAAGACTACAGACACGATTCTGATAGATAGCCGGGCACCATCTACTTTCTTCACCACACTGAGCGGTAGCACCCTTATCTTCAGTGATCATTTCATGAAGGTGAGTATCAAGCAGTCCATTGTGTCAGAACCAACTGTTCTTGGATTGGGGCTAGAGTTAAGTGGGAGCCCAGAATCCATCAGCTGATCCATGAGCTACGCACGACTCAGGGTTCCTTTGGCAGTCATACTGCGACAAAATCAAAACCCCATAAGACCAACTACACCAACAATGGCAACAAGCCAACCACAAAACAAAACAACAATAATGAAAAACAAGCTAAAGGCTGGTAACCAAAAACCCACAGAAATAAATAAGCAAAAACATTGTCAATCATCCCCCTGAGTATAAGGAGAGTGCGCTGATAACATCACCCATTTTCCCAGTGACACAACACTGTCCATTGCAGTGTGAGGAGTCTATGCAAGTATAGCTCCACCTTGAGCCACAACCCCTGTGTTGTTGCTCTACACTTGCCCCTTTGACCTTCCTATTTGACTGAGCTCTGCTTACCCTAAGTATGGGGATTGGTGCCAGGGAGAAACTTCCTGGATCAATTCTTCCAAGTGCAGATCCCTGCCACCAGATCTGCACCTATCATATAATGTAAAGGGGGCCTCAAGGTACTAAATATATAATGATCTGAGTCCCTTTCCATTGGACACCCATCAAGCCAGAGGTTCCCCCCAAGAGTCAATGACCATCACTTCCACTCTCTGGGGCAGCCAATCTCTGCTTCCTCTTCCTTCCAAATGTCCCAGTCCTCAGTCCAAGGGTGCAGGCAACTTCGAGGCAGGGCTCAGTTCATTCAGCTGGACCTCTATGTGAAGTCCTTCTGGTGTAACCCCTGTGGTATGCCATGCTGCCTGCAAGGTCAGTGTCCAAGGTCATCATTGGTGCTTAGTCTGTGGTGTGTTTCACTGAGGGTTGGGTAGAAACTTATTCGCAGTGTCTACCCAGTAGCATTAAATCTGGTCTTTGGACACCTTTAGGAGCCCTGGTGACGTACTGGTTATGATTTGGGTGCTACGTCCAAGGTCAGTAGTTTAAAACCACCTCTGCAGGAAAAAGATGAGGTTTTCTACGTGTGTGTATAAGAGAGAGCTTTATATCAAAGAGCAATTGTACATTAAAAAACATCCCAGGGGACCAGATCAAGTCCCTAATTCTGGTATTAGCCCATATGTCGGATACTAGTCCATGAATTCCTCTTCAGACTAATGCAGCCATGCAATGATGCTGAAGTCAGGAAGATCACAGGACAGAGGGTGGAAAGTCTGGTGGATCCAATGGCAGTGGACACATCTCCAGGGCTCTGGCTGCCATCAGCATAGTTACATGTGACTCGTCAGCACGAAGGGGAAGCAGAGAAGATGTCCCACTTCTAAGGAAGGGAGGTTCCCAGAATTTTCATGAGGCCACGCCCACATTCCTATGTCGGTCTAGTTGGCACAATAAATCTAACTATCACAGGTACCTTAATAGCATAGTGGATTAAGCCAGGGCTGCTAACCCAAGGTCAGCGGTTTGAAACCACCAGTTTCCCTCAGGTAGAAAGACAAGATTTTCAACTCCTGTGAGGAATTCCATAAACCCACAGGGGCAGTTCTACCCAGCCTACCAGGGTCTCTGAATCAGAATGGACTCATTGGCAGTGAGGTAGGTCTCTGAATGGGCATGTGGGGTTACAAGTGGAATTCTGGATAAAAAGGTTGGCAAGATCCCTAAGTCCAGTTGGCACATTGGCTACTCATAGTGAAGCTGTGGCATTCTGGCTTTCATAACCTGATCATGGCAAGTGTTAGGCTCCTCATGCTCTTTCTGTCATGCTCCCAGACCCCACATGTACAAGGCTGGGTTGTCGGGAGACGCTTGTGAGCCACAGATACACACATCACTCATACTGTGATTAATAATAGAACCAAACCTAACCCTCATGGCCACCAAGTCAATGCCAACTCAGAGCCACCCTATAGGACAGGGTAGTCTTGCCCCGTGAGTTTCCAAGATTGACACTCTTGACGTGAATAGAAAGCCTCATCTTTCTCCTGGAGACTGTGACAGGTTTTATGTCACTTTGGCTGGGCAGGTCTCTCCCATGACAAGATGTGGCATGGTGTGGTCAGCTCCACAATGGGACCGTGTGTGAAGCAGCCAAGCAAGTGTGGGGAAAATAAGGTAGAGTATCCCTCCTTAATTGGGTCAAGGCACTGATACAAAGGAAGGAGGGTTCCCTCAGGGTGTTGCCTCCTCTTAGTG